CCAACCTGGAGGGGTCCCCCCTACCCGCAGGGGGAGGTTATGTAGACAGTGAAACGAGGGAGTAGTGAAAAGAGGAGTTACACACGAACAAAGCAAGGCGGTAGTGAACGAAGGCAAGACGAAATCTTTCCTGCCACCAAACAAGGAACCTTCGCATACGCGGCTATGCTTCCACGACACTCTTGAGAGTCATAGCTTCGAAGTCGCAGATATTTTGGTAGCAGTCTTAAGAGCAACAACAACGTTAGCCCCGAAATCAAACGCGGCATAACTCTTGCCAACAGATTCTATTTTGGACTGAATAGGCAATTGAGAAGTAAAGACAACTCTTGACAAACAAGGACAAACTTTACAAGTAACTCATTATAACCGTCTTAACACAGCGTGCAAAGGCATGGACGATGGCAACATCTGATAAGTCGGTGTTACGAGTCTTCGAGAGAATGGTTCTGCGAAAAATTTGTAGCAATTTGCGCATTGCCCAAGGCGAATACCGCAGTCGATGGAACGATAAGCTGTATAAGATATACGACGACATTGTCATACTTCAGCGAATCAAGAGACGGCGGCTACGCTGGCTTGGTCCGAATGGACGAAAACACTCGAGCTCTGAAACTATTCGACGCAGTACACGCCGAGGGAAGCAGAGGAAGAGAAAGATATCTACTCCGTTGGAAAGACCGGGTGGAGAAAGACCTGGCTTCGCTTGGAATCTGCAATTGGCACAAAACAGAGAAAAGGAAGAACGACTAACGGGTTTTTATAAACTTGGCTATAACCGCGAACAACAGCAAAGTTTACTTCACTCAAAATGCTATAATTCGCTAACTAATGCTCCGACAGCTGTATAATTTAAACACACGTCTTTTGAAGGTTAAGACTAACTAAAAATCATGTGGACTTAATTCTAGTAGCGCCATGTATGTATCAGGCCGGTGACTTTTCAATTGATCTGTTATTTGTGCATTTATATTTTATTGACTAAATTCAATTGAATTTAACTTTAGTTTACAAACATTTTAATCAAGCAAAGGCTAGAGTAATGCACAAGAAATTTGCTCCTTCGGTAAGCACCTATGTACACAAATACAAACGTACACTTTTGTAATAAAATCATCGCCATGCTAAGTTCACCAGCCTGCGACTGAGTTTAAGGACACTCCGCATTTGGTGATTTATGCAAAAACAACAAAAAAAAAAAAGCAAAAAATGATTTGTTTATTATGAATTCGCATTTCAATGCCTTTGTCCTCTGGTTGGCAGCGCACTCAGCAGAAGCCTAACTCTGAAAATTATGGCCTACGGAAAAATATGAATGCGCAGGAAAAAAGCACAAACACATTTGAATGTACAAATGTATGAACTTCTGTATGTATGTTTGTATTTGTATCTAACATTTATGCGGAGAAAAGATATATATGTACATACATACAAACAACGCAGCATTATGTGGCACAAAGGGTTTTGAACTTTAGGACATTGTGCCACTTACGATAGCGAATGTTCACAGCAGCAATGACACTCGCTTCAACCGGCAGCAGCTCATTCGCTCATTCACGCAATCTGGCATTTTGGCATTCGCTTTATTCGCATTTGCTGAGCACTTTCTTGGCCCAGTTATTAGCGAGCCAAAATAATCACTCATTGTCTATTCAAACACACACACACACACATATATACATATGGGTACATAAGAATAATTATAAATATTGTACCCAAATATTTATTTCTGTGTGTCTGTAAATCTGCTTGTAAAAATATAATTCCGATTTTGTGCGCTTTTGTTACCAGCTCCATTCTTAGGCGCCTAATCTGGCGAGCACAATCAATAATCAGCAATAAAATTTCGCTGCTATTGTATATATACATATGTATGCAGATAAGTACGTTTGTAAGTATCTTAAGCCATGTGACTATTGAAAAGTTAATGGCTCTTCAGCTGGGTAATGCAGATAAGGTTGAAGGGGAAGGCGGCACTTGATAACTTTTTAATACCTTCGATGCATAAAAACAGGCGTACAAGATATCAGAAGTCGAACTCCTCATACATACATATATTGTACATACACATACGAGTATGTATGCACATACATTCATACATATATTTGTCCTCTTATATAGCAGTCTTCTGCATAGGTAGCGCAAAGATTTGATAGCTGGCGCCACCAAAGCTGAAAAGAAGCGCGAAAAGCAGAATTTTTTTGTGCACAAACACACACATTTGCTTGTGTATATGTGTGCGGTACAGTAATAACGAAAAATCTGGGTCATGCGAATGACTTGCTGGAAGCTAAATAAATTTGCTTCACTTAAACATACATATGTACAATAGCGAATCGAAAATCAATGAATATTGAGTTAAGAATTTAAAGAAAAGTGGATCTATTTCGGTATTTTTCAATTATAATGTTTGATAATATGTTGCTTGAGACAGTTTTTTGGTAAAAAAAATTACTTATTAAGAATTTTTTCATAGAAACGCTACAAAAGTAGATGATCGACGCCATATTTTACCTGCTCTCTTGACATTTCTCTTGAGTAGGGTTTTCATTCATTTCATCATGGAAAGATATACGTTCCAACAACAAGTCGAAACCAATAAAAAGTTACTACCGGAATTCGGAGTCAGTGGCCTCAACTTTAAGAACGCTACGTCGAATTTATGATCATCATAATCGTCCTGTCAGATCAACAATTGAGCGTCTAGTGAAAAAATTTGTATCCACAGGCACAGTATTAAATGTTCCCGTGCCAGTGAGACAAAGACGTACCTCTAGTGTCGAAAATATGGCCGAAAATTGTGTTCAGGTACTACAAGCAGGCTTGTGAAATCAAGTTAAATACATAGTGCAAAAGAAATCGAGTTCCACCCGTTACTTAGTTTAGGTAGATAGGCTGATATTCGTAAGACCACTAAAAATCCAACCTGGACTGCTGGCGACGCTTGTACATTGTGATGTCCAGATTAAATGGATCAAAAAGACCGTCGTATATCTACAAAGCGCCTAGAAGCAGTCACAAATTTATTGTGTAGTATAAGTGCTTTTCTTGGAAAATCATTGATTTTACACTTTTCGACGATTTTACTGCGGCCAGTCTTGAAAGACGCTACAGTGGTCTGGCAAAGTGAAACAAGACTTGATTAAGGAGTTCTTGACCTAAGACTGAACTTCCGGCCTTCCCTATGAGTTTCGATCCATCGTTGAAAAATCTTACTGCGTCTCTTCTTCAGCGACTCCGCATCAGGGATGCATTCGAAATGAGACACGATTCCGGAATTTCTCTAACTGGGACCCTTAATACTTCCAGTTTCCCGGAGTCTTACCGCAGCCCAACGCAGCAATTCATTTACCGGCAAATCCACGCATGCTACGTGCAGAATGGCTTTAAGCGTCATCCTCGGTGTC